CATTAGTGTTTGATTTATAATGTTGTGTGTTTATAATAAAAACGCAATTTTAATTAGAATAATATGGATACGTCTAAACGAAATAAAATAAAATATTTGTATGATCAATTACATATGGTATCCAAATGGAAATAAATACAATTTTTATAAAGTAATTAACATCACTTAATGATTCATCGTTAAACCATTATGTTATGTAACGTTTAAATACCAAAATGTTATATTTTAGTTGGATTTAAATTAATAACATATGTATTTATGAGTTTATATTAATAAATTAATGATGTAGAGATTTTCAACATGGCGTATAGAATTAAGGAAAAATCATTCTTTATTACACCAAGTATTGTCTAATATGTTGTAAACCATCCTAAGTATAGAAATGTTTTCTGAACTACATAAACTATTATGTATACATGATGACATATACCAAGTAGATGTAAACATGTTAAAAACTACAAAATTGGTATTTTGATAAATATTTATCAATTTAGGGATCAATTTGTAATTATTTTCAAAAAAAAATTTTAAGAAAAAATCCAAAAGATTAAAAACATACAAAATTTAACAAATCGAAAAAAATCTATAAAATTTCAAAAATTTAAGAAAAAAATCAATGTTCTAAAACGCGGCCTAGGTGGGCGCTAGGCGCCCAGGCGCTACGCGGATGTCGGGCGCCCCAATTTTAGGCTATTTGGTGATTTATGCGTTTATTATAAATGTAGATGTTTATGCGGTTTAGGCGGGCGTTTATGCGGTCTAGGCGGACGATTACGCGGCCTAGGCGGATATTAGGCGGCTATATGAAAACTAAACAAAAAAATCACGTTTTTAATTATATTGTAAAATAAAGCTGTTTATCATAATCAATATTTATTTTTAACCTCTAAAGATCCAATCTATTAGTTAAATTCATTTTGAAATTAAGTTTAGAAACTACATATATCTTTTATATTTTTATATATTGTAGAAGACTTTTAATTTGTTTTAAGATTATATGTATATTTAACATTACATGTTCTATTCTATAAGAATTTATTACATTTAATATTTGAGGTTTCTAATTTCTAAATATATATAAATATAAAATATGTTCATGTTTTATTCATCGTATATATATATCCATCTTTATACGTATATATATATACATATTTTTTTTTTTAGAAAACTAATTATCCGCCTAGGTCCCGCCTATACTCCCGCGTATACGGTTAGGCGCTAGGCCCCCTTCTGCCGCCTAGTAAGCGCCTAACGCGTTTTAGAACACTGAAAAAATAATAATTAAATTTTTGTTAAAAATTATAATTATAGATTCAGTTTTAATTTTATAGACAAATTAAATATGTAAAATCCCAATTATATATAGAGTTCTAAAATTATATATTTTGAAACCAATTAATTTGTTACACAAAAATAAACAATTTTTTTAAAAATGTTGGTCAACAAACATATTTTAAGTTCTGTAGAATAACTTTCAATAACTTAGAATAAAATACATACACACCTATTTTACACCTTTTTTTTTGGAAAATATTTTTAATGGTGTTTTCGGTACTATCCCAACG